TATGTTGACTTAAGTGGCCTAATTTCAACTCTTGATGTTCTTTGGCTTCAAACAAAACACCAACTTCACAGAATGCGTTAATATTATAAAAATGTTGTTCTTCTGCACTACAGCATGACCATCATGTTTTGCAATCAATTTATCTTCTCAAAAAAAAAATCTGTTTTATAAGTTTACCATGACATTTCAGTGACAACAGCACTAAGACTGCTAAGAAAGAAACAAAAAAGGGAGTAATTAAAAATAGGCAGAGAAGTGAACATCATGATACAATGACAAAATAATCCCCTAAATTTTCTTTGTAAACATACCACTAAAAGCCCAACGTTTACCATGGTAATACTAAATCAGACTGTATTATGGGAATGAGTTTATATGCAGATCTATACAATTTATACATTTGGCATATATGCCAAGTCTTCTAGTCATAGTAAATTACTAAACTGTCACACTCTGTATTTAACACACAGTCACATTCTGCTAACCATTTTCAGTATTTGAGTAGAAGAATTTAGCCCCCAAAAATTAAACTCAACATTAAATGTAGAGACTGGTCTGCCTTTTTCTCACCTACTGCTCAGAATATTACCGAGGCAGCACAAGCACCAGCGTTTCTTGCAGGCTATCATACATGAATGGAACACACTCAAAATTGTCTGTATAATCCAGCCAGGACTTTCTAGTAATTAAGTAATTGGACAAGCTATCTAAACAGATTGTACACCCCACATGAAACATCAGGTTATACAAAGTAAGTGGCACTAATGTTATTTGCAGACACAGAGAACACCATAGTGGGCAACTGTAACTTTAGTCTTAAGAAGGTGGTTAGCAACACCTACTGGTCATGATGAATACTGAACATGGTTACCAATACAATTTTTTTCTAAAAATCTAAACCTTTTATTACAGCTGAAATGCCTAGTTCAATTACTTAGTCATTACTGGCGCTGTTGATGCTTGAATGACATCTACAGAAAAATAATAAGAATTAGAGCTTCATAACATGTGTGAAGTGATGTGGACACATTCTGAACTATAACAAACATCAGCCTAGTATGAAGTCTTACGCTTTTACAAGTCGCCTTCTACATCATGCAATTCTTAAATTAACATTTTGGATATACTTTCCTCTCTGACAGGATAGGGAGTTGGACCAAACACTATTTACTAATAAAGCAGCGCTGGGCTGTGATGCCTGATCGTTTCAGTCCATTTCATCTGTCTAAAAATTAATGAGATGAAAATCATCTTTTGTAAACATGGCTCATTAGTTTTAGATGCTCATACTCAACTCAAACTTCCAGATTTCTTTATCAAGAAGATGCCCTGAATTACATTTAGGTATGGTACAACAACTGTAACACCTGTATCCACTAACTGCATTCAACTTTTTAAATTTTTATCAAGCCCTTATTGAAAAAAAAAAAAAAAAA